ACAGGGTATAATGGGAAAAAGGGAAACTTTTCAGGAGGCTACTGCAAAAGACTGAGTGAGAGACCAGGGCAAGTGGGAGAAAAGGGGAGAAAAAGCTAAGGGATAATTAAGAGCCAAAATGATAGAATGAATATAAATAGTGAGGGAAAAAGAAGAGTCAAAGGTAATTCTGAGGTTTCTAAATTGGGTGATAATGTACTATTAACCAAGGTAACAACTGGACAGTGTGTGTGTACACACGTGTGTAAGACACATTAAGACGGATAAGTTAAGACAGATCAGAAAATGATAAGCTTGAAACATAATTCCTGGCATAATTAAGTGGAGCTGTCCTGTAGACAACTGGACACATGTCCTGAGAAAACAGAAGTGAAGAAAAGGCAGGAGACGCTTCAGGAGGCATCAGTTCATGGAAATACTGGGAAATGTTAGGTGTTTCTCCAGAAAGATAGTGAGAAGAAAAGCCACGATAGAACCCTGCTGGAACAATACTTTAAGATCAAGTGCTACACGAGCTGAGAAAGACTAAGGAAGGTATGAAGAGATCTAAGAGACAAGAGAGAAAACTGTTACAGAGGCCAAGGTGAGAAGACTTTTGAGAAGGGGTTTTACACAAGCAAAAAGTTGCAGATGTCACATAACATAGGCTAAAAAATATCAGCTAAGTTTGAAGATCTGAAGGAGTTCAACTGTACTCCTGTACTTGAAGTGAGTCCAGTTTTAGTGGAGTTATGGGAATAAAAACCAGATTACAGTGGGCTGAGAGATGAATGAAAGTAGATACAGACTCTCCTGGAGAGGAAAGAAATTTTACTTCTCTGATCCTTTCCAGAGAAAATAGAAGATTTAAACTAGGAGGATCCTACATTTTTGAGGTTCTTTGAAAAATGGTAAATAAGAGAAGTTATTAACTCAATGCTAATCATGTTCTCTGAAAAAGAGCTGCCATCAGAGATTCAGTTTGATCTTGGCAGCTTTGTTTTCCAAATATTTCAATCATTTTGGATATCGTACGATGTCTTTTTCTTTCACTGTCATCCTTCATTTTAACTGTGCCATCAGATTTCAAGTTACTAACTCTTGCACATTCTTATTTTAGTAAAATATGAACACTACGTTTGGGAACAAGTACCCATTCCGTGAGTGCTTTGACTGAAATGAACAGGAATCAGAGGCAGTGGTCAAAAGTGTCAAATGCTTAGAGATGACAAATTGAATACAGACTGGGGAAAAAAGAAAAAGGCTCTTTAGTTCCAATGAATGAACTGTCCAAACTCTTAGCTAAAGCCAACAACCCTTCCATTTGTGCGCTGGATCCCACACCCACTGGCCTACTCAAAACCAGGTTTTCAGCAATTCTGCCCTCTCTGGCATCACCAATTCTTTCCTCTTTACTAGATCAGCCTAATCAGCAAACAAATACAGTATTATTAGTCTTATCTGGGGGAAAAAAAACGTTCTTGATTCCACTTCATTTTTCTCCTTCCTTTATGGAACTGTTTATACAGAAGCTTCCCGACCCAGGGGTGATACGTTCCAAGATCCCCAGTGGATGAGCAGATAATACTGAACCCTGTTTTCTGTTCATGTCTTCCACCCACAAATTCAATGCCTTTCTTAACTAAGCACTTATCATGCACTGTGGCCACAACTCTTGCAGTTTGATACTTGATAGCAAAAATGGCACAAATTTCTTTTTCCTTCTTCATAGTTTCACAGAAGATTCATTCTTAACACAGATCTCAGTAACCTCAGCATATTATTATTATTTTTTTCTTTCCTTATTAAGTCAAGAACTCTCACCTTTTCACTTAAAGAAAGCACATTACGGCTTCTCTTTGGCATATCTGAATTGACAGCACCACTACTTTTGCTCTTTGGAGCCATTATTAAGTAAAATAAATGTTACTTGAACACAAGCACTGAGATACTGTGACAGTCAATCTGATAACAGAGGCAACCACCAAGTGACTTAACAGGTGGGATACACCAGACAAAGTGATGATTCACGTCCCAGGCAGGTGGGACAGTGTGAGATTTTATCATACTATTCAGAATAGTGGGCACTTTAAAACTTATGAACTGTTTATTTCTAAAATTTTCCATTTAGTATTTTCCAACTATGGCTGATAGTGGCAGGTAACAGAACCCATGGAAAGTGAAACCATGGATGAGGGGATGAGGGGCACTTACTGACTGTTGTTTGTATTGGGAAGAACTGTTTATAGTTATTGACTTTAATTTGTCTCCCTTCATTCTATCTTAAACCCAACCCAAAGGAGATAAATGTTTACAACTCTTGTCAAGATCACCAATGACCTCCATGCTAAATCCAAAGTCATTTCTCAGACCTCATCTTACCTGATCTTCCAGAAGTATTTGACACAGTTCATCTCTTCCTTTTCCTTGAAGTACATTTTTTACCTGCTTCCCAGGACCCTGTACATCCCTGGTTTTTCTGATACCTTTTTGGGTACCGCCTTGAGTCTTCTTTGCTGACTCTTCCTCTTCTCCCTGACTTGTAAATGCTGGAATATCCCCAAGTTCAAGTGTCAGATCTCTTCTCTTTTCTCCCTACATTCATCTCATTCATCTGATGATCTCAACCAGTTTCACGGCCTTAAGTGTCAGCTGTAATGTGCTGATCAATTCCCAGGTTTCTTTTTTCAATCTAGATAGCCTGTAACTTTAGAGCTCTGTGTCAAGCTGCCTATCTGACATCTCTGCTTGGATATCCAATAAGCATCTCAATTTTAAAATCTCCAAAACCAATCTAACATTCCCTCCTCCACTTGCTCAGTGTGTGCCATCTAATGTAATGGCTATTCCATCCCTTCAGGTTGCTTAAGCCAAAATTTTGGAGCTTGTCTTTGACTGCTTTTTTCTCCTTTCTCACATCTCATCTGGTCTTTCAGGCAAATCCTGTTTGGCTTATCTTCAAAATATATCTAGAATTCTATACTTTTCACCACTCCCCATTCCTATAATCCTTGAAACCCACTCTAATGAGGTTTTTTCCCCTACTACTCTGCCAAAAATACTGTTGTCACTAGTGAAGTCCTTTGAGTCATCTCTCGAATTATTTTAGAACCCAAACTGGTCTCCTGCTTCAGTCCCTGCTCCCTTCACTCTTTTCTCTATATATCAGCCACAGGGATACTATTTAAAAATGTCAGATCATATCATTTTGTGCAAAACCTCCTCACACTTTTGCACCTCACTCAGAGGGACAGTTAAAGTGATTACTCTGACCCATAGGGTCCTACAGGATCTAGTCCCTTGCTACTCAAAGTACCGGCCTCACACCAGTGGCACTGGTATCATCTGGGAACTTAATAGGATGTAGAATCTCTGGTCTTAACTCAGACTTTCTGACTCAGCATTTGCATTTTAATAAGATGTCCATGCAATTCATAAGTGCATTAAAGTTTGAGAAACACACTGATGAAGCCTATACCCTCCCTCTGGTATACTCTGCTCCAGTCATACTGGCCTCTCAGCTATTTCTGAAAGGAAGAAACACTCCTACCTCAAGGCTTTCCCACTCACTACTTCCCTCTGCCTAGAATAATCTTTGCCCATAATGTAGGTAGTTACTTTACTTTCTTCAGGTTTTTATTCGAGTCACCTGTAAAGCCTTTCTGGGCCATCGTATCTAAAACAGCACCCCAAGCCCTTCCTGTTCCCCTTCCCGACTGTATTTTTTAATCCATAGTTCTTATCAATGTATTATGCAGCTTACTTCTTTACACTTTCTATTGTCTGACTTACCCATAGAATAGGGGTTAGAATTTTTGTAATTTTTGGATATTTTGGTTATTCTGCTTAGTATTTAGCAGCTAGAATGGTGGCACACACAGCAGACACTCAGAACATTTTTACTGTGCAAACTGGATTCAGCAAGTAGGCAGCCTTTAGCAAAGTCTTGGAGAACAGTTTCATCTGAATAGAGTCAGATGGCAGATATTAATGAGTAAAGAATGTCAGGAAAGGAAACAGAATTATAAAGAGTAGTCTATTTTTAAAGAGCTATAAAGGATATTAAAATAATTCATCTTAGGGATTAGCTAGCACTTCAATCTATTAGTGAATACATTTCTTCCTTGGCAAATAATATCTAAGTAGAAAAGATAAACATTCAAGTGGAACAGAGATTGTCAATGGAAGAGGGACTATTGCTATTAGCCCTTTTCTATATTTCTTCATATATGTGCCCAAAAATACCAAAGAAAGGAGTTGGGGTGTTGGGGGTGGTGCGTGCTGGGAGAAAGAGAAGTAAGGTAGAGCTCCTAGGCATCCTGAATAAAGAACCATAACTAAAAATCTGATCTTAAAAAAATCTGATGTTTGGGGAAAAAAATTATTTTAATATTTGTGGCAATTCAGACAGAAAATGAATTTGCTTTTTGCAGCTAGCCCTGTGGCAGGTATTTCCTTAATGGTGATCATGTGGCCAGGAGTCCTGTTCCCTAGATCCCACAGTACTGCTGTTCCAGTTCACAGGAACCAGCACTGCAAATGATGGCTGAATGCAGATATCAAAGCAGTTTACAACAGCTCCCATTCTCTTGGCAAAGCATAACAAACGTACCTTCTATTTTTATGATATAAGACGACCTCTTTAGCACCTTATACGTTATCAGAATCTGTTTTGAAGCCTAGGCAGAGGCCCAGTGTCCCAAAGCAGCTGCTTACCCAGTTGAAGCCAGATCATTACTCTCCTTGGAGCCATCTTCATCTGCAAAAAGGGGAGGCAGAGTGGAACTAGTCATCAAGGTTTCCATCTCTCTGGAAGGAAGAGAGAATTTAAAAAAAAAAAAAAAGGCTTAATTATTTCCAGTTCAAGTTGCACATATTTAAGAGCCAGCCTTCCTTAACCTTTATCACATCAGCAGCAGAAGAGAAACTGACCTAAATATTTTCTTGACTTGGACACATCAATTTAAACTTTATGGTTAATAGGCTTTTAACCCTGGTCTTACCAACTGACCAGGGTAAAATCAGATTTTAAAAATCGGGACAGTTTGGAAAATTCCTTTTTGTTCATTCAGAATATCTTCAAAACTATTCTGTATTTGCTGTAAAAATCGCTAAGCAGAGTAAACTCAGAAGCACTGCAACTCTGAGCAAACTATTCAACCTCTTTGAGATACAATTTCACCATCTTAGACACAGACCAAATTGCTGACTTAACCCACAGGGTTATTGTGAAGGATTAAACTGAAAGTGCTTCATAAATAGAGAAAGGGTCAGATGGTAAGTGCTTTGAGTATTATTATACAAAGAAAGGTATTGTTATTACAACATTATGAGTTCTCAGTCCCAGATGAATCATCCTTAGCTTAAATGGTGACAAACTGAGCCTTCCAAAAGGAAATAATGCAAAGGAAGTGGAGGATGGAAGGCATACTGATGTGGTTCAAAATTAAAGAAACCACACTTCCAGGTCAGAAATATGCTCCACATCACCATGATGACCAGCAGTGGAAATAGCATGCACCTGGGCACAGGAAATAACTAAGCTTAACTGAAGAAAGCAAATAAATCACAAGAATTTGAGGTTATCGGACTGAAAGGATAAAAGGACAAAGTGACAAAGAGAGTAATTTCATTTAGCATACTGCTACAAAGAAAGATTTTTCCCTTTCAAGGCTTAACACCAAGGGCTTCAGCCCACAGAGCTGAAAGCAGAAGCCTCCCATTCACAGTGAAAGTGATACTCAAACAAAACATTCAACAGTGACCCCAAACAGCTACTTAAGTGGAACTGCAAACCACTCAAGAAAAAAAAATGCCTTAATCAACTGGGAGAATGAGAAGCCGGTTATGAAAACTCACTCAGGAGCTCTCTTAGCAGTTCTGTCAGGTGCTGCTGCTAAGGAGACCTAGTGAAATAGCAATTATAAGGAAAGCACAGAGCCCAGGCAAAGCGAGGATTCACCCCACTGAGGTGGTAACATGAAGAAAATGCTGGTGACACCGATGCCATATTCTGAAGTTCAATGTAATAATTTACTTCCAAAATGATAACACTGATTTATTTCTCATTCTTACTTATTTTCTTGTTTTCATTTCTTTGTTACTTAGCAGACCAAATTCCACAAATAGCTTAATGTGAAAAAATGCATCTCTGTATATTCACCACTCATTATAGTGTGGGTAGAGCATGGAAGGCAGAGAGGAACTTCCCACTCAACCACAGAGTAAGGCGTTTGTTCCATGTACAGGGATCTTGCTAATGTGTTTCAATTCCTTCAGGAGAAGGGGGCTTACAAGGGGCTCTAACAAATAGTGCACAGTTCCATTCATTCTACGATAATCTTGACACAAGTGTGCTTATGTTTTAGTTCACATTATGCACAGACTAGATGAGAACCCAGGCTTTAAGGGCTGCTAACATCACCTTATACCAATATTCATTTTACCAAAAGAAAATTAATCAATTAGATGCCATACAGCCTAATTATAAACCACAAACATTCAAATAACCAGATTATATCCACAAACCTCAAAAGAACTCACTTAACTGACTTCTTTCTAAAAGTCTCCTTAGAAGTAAAGGACTTCTCAAGAGCTTCAAGATTTAGCATCTGAAGCTCTTGACACCCCATCTAAACCTAAGAAGAAGATACGTTATCTGGTGGGGGACAAATGAAGTATCTTTTTTTTTTTTTTAATGTGGATCATTTTTAAAGTCATTATTGACTTTGTTACACTACTGCTTCTGTTTTATGTTTTGGTTTTTTAGTCGTGAGGCATTTGGGATCCTAGTCTGACCAGGGGTCAAACCCACATCCCCTGCATTCTTAATCACCAGACCGCCAGGGAAGTCCCTGAGGTGTCTTTTCATTGACTATGCCAATGTGATCCTCTTAGAATGTTTCCCAGATATCTTCGGTCATTTTTGAAATATGGGGAGGCAGCTGGACAACACAACCTTAACAACACATAAACAGACCATATAAACAAAGGAAGTTCAGAGAACACACATTTCTTGTTGTTGTTGCTTTTTTCCTCCCTCTTAAGTGTGTTTTACTCAACCCATATGGTTTCAGATATAGTTTCTCTAGTGTTACAGAATAGTCAAGTCCCTAAGAAATGAGTGAGTAATAAAGTGGGTGGAAGGTTAAGGGGCCAAAATCAACAAAAGAAGGAAATGAGGAAAAAGTCCAGTGAAACTCCAAGGCCTCTAAACTAGTCCAGTAAGTTGGAAAATAAAATGATTCCTGAGAATTGGCTGAAATCCTGTAAGAATCTGCTTTCATATGGTCCATGAGGGGGTGATTCAAGCTGAATCACAGTTACCAAGCCACTGATGGCCAAAAGCCCTTCAGTGTAGCATCTGTGCCTGATAACATCCCAGTACAGGGGTCATACTGAACTTGGAAATTCTATGCAAAGCACTTAAGCTGTGTAATGAATACTGCTCTGGAAGGGGAAAGAAGAGAAATACACACAAAGGCAAGGCAATATACAAGTTTGGTTTTCCACTTCATTTTACAGAAACAAGTATATCATGCAGATGTTTTCTTGCAGAAGGGATTCACCCACAGAAGGATTCCACCTGGAGGCTTCAAAAATAGTATTACCTTGGGGCTGACACTTTGACTGTGGCTTTGGAAATGAAAAAATCCCTTCTAGTATTAATATTAATACTCACTGAAAAAAAAAAACCTGATGTATAAAACAGAGTGCCAATTTAAGATATTTTAATAGCAATTACAAAAACTGTTAACACAAATTACATTAAGCCACTAATCATACTCAGAACATGTCTTTGGTCAATACAGGGCCAGAATAAAGGAACTCAGGTAGAGCTTAAGAAATGTTCTTCAACTAAGCTTTTTCTACTAATAGTAGCCTTTCCCAACAGAAGAATGATCTCACCAGTGAGACTGCATTATTCTTAATATGCTGGACAATGCTGGAAGGAGAATTTGTACTTGTGTTTTCTGAAGTTGGCTCTTTGCAAGTGCCCCTTCCCTACCTCACACATGTTAATCCCACATCATCAAGCCCTCTCACGGAGACACATCACACTCCTTCCCTACCACACCAGCCCCAACTATACACATGTCAGAGTTATGAGGTAGGATTCTGCCCACATTTCCCCATACTACAACCCTTATGTAAAACGTCCAGTTCCTTTAAAAGTCATGTTACTTGGCTATACCAGTCTCTGATCATTACCTCCTGTCATTTCAGTTCTACAATGTGCATGAGTGTGCATGCATGCTCAGTTGGGTCTGACTCTTTGTGATATCATGGACTGTAGCCCGCCAAGCTCCTCTTCCATGGAATTCTCCAGGCAAGAATACTGGAGTGGATAGCCATTCCCTTCTCCAGGGGATCTTCCTAACCCAGGGATGGCAGGTGGATTTTTTCCACTTCGCCACCTGGGAAGCCCCATTCTACTACAACTGACCTTTAACCTCACAAACCTCTATTTGTTGACTCTTAATTTTCCCTACTCTGTGTAGCTTAGATTCTATAGCTTCACTTCAATTTTTTTTTTTTTTTTGCCAACACTCTCAATTCCTTTGCCATGTTATTCTTCTATACCCTAGATGTAGATCAACTCTGAGTTTTAGCCAAGAGATCACACCAGGTTATCCTAAAGGAAATCAAGCCTGAATATTCACTGGAAGGAATATTCCTTCCAATATTCCTTCTGAAGGAAGGAATGCTTAAGCTATGGCCACCTGATGTGAAGAGCTGACTCACTGGAAAAGACCCTGGAAAGACTGGAAAAGATGCTGGGAAAGACTGAAGGCAAAAGAAGGGGGCGGCACAGGATGAGATAGTTAAGCTAGTATTATCGACTCAATGGACATGAATTTGAGCAAACTCTGGTAGTAGTGGACAGAGGAGCCTGGCATGCTACAGTCCATGCGGTCACAACAGCAACATTCCAGCAACATACATTACATCCTTGTAACTTATTTATTTTATACCTAGTAGTTTGTATCTTAGTCCCCTCAGCCTAGTTTAGCCCTTCCACCTATTTTAGCCCTTCCCACCCATTCCTCTCCTCTAGTAACACTAGTTTGTTATCAGTATCTGTCATTCTATTTCTGTTTTCTTATATTCATTTGTTTATTTAAAAAATTCCTCATATAAATGAAAACATACAGTATTTGTCTTTCTCTGTCTTATTTTATTAAGCATAACACCCTCTAGGTCCATCCATATTGTTGCAAATGGCAATTTTTTTTAAAAGACTGAGTAATATTCCTTCATATATATATACCATATCTTCTTTATCCATTCATTTTTTGATGAACATTTAGGATGCTTCCAGATCCTGGCTATTGTAAATAATGCTGCTATGAATGTTGGGGTGCATGTATCTTTTCAAATAGTGTTATTGTTTTCTTTAAATATATGCACTGTTGGGGTGCACATATCTTTTCAAATAGTGTTTTGTTTCTTATATGGTAGTTCTATTTTCAGTTTTTGAGAAACCTGTATTACTGTTTTCTATAGTGACTATACTAATTTACATTCCCACCAACAGTGGGCTAGGGTTCTCTCTTCTCCACATCCTTGTCAACATATTATGTCTTGCCTTTCTGACAAATGTGAGATGATATCTCATTGTGGTTTTGATTTGCATTACCCTGATGACTAGTGATGTTGAGCATCTTTTCAATGTGCCTTTGGCCATCTGTACGTCTTCTCTGGAAAAATGCTTATTTAGGTCCTCTGTTCATTTTTAAATTTGGCTATCTGGTTTTTTTTTTATTGAGTTGTATGAGTTCTTTATATATTTTGAATATTAATC